AGATTAGGTTGGATCTTCTTGTACCAAAAAAATAAGGAAATGTGTTCATAACTGGGGGACCCAGAAACCACCTTGGAAAGAGCCATTTTCCATGTCAAAAGCAGTTACAGCTGTGTGCAGAGGTGCACACCATTAATTCTTCACTTGAGAGTTTGAGAGAAGAGGATTTTAAATTGGAAGTCAGCCTAAGCTCTATTAAGAGCCCATCCAGAGAGAGAGAGAGAGAGAGAGAGAGAGAGAGAGAGAGAGAATAAAAATTTCAGCATCAATATAAATCTAGTAATAGTGGATGATAGCCTCTGCATATGTCAGTTGGTCCAAAGGAAGACTCTTAAATACAATAAAATGAATAAGTACTGGAAGAACAGAGAATGCTGTTGATAGAATTCTAGTAAATATCTCCCCTCAGATTGCTTAGTAACTTCAAAGAGAAAAAACAGTAAACATAAGGAAAAAGATGGCATGGACCTCTTTAACGAAATCATGAGAGCTGACATCGCTAGTACTGGAGCAAGCCAACATCACCTTACCCTTAATAAGATCAGCTGAAAATGGCAAACAGCACTCGACGGTAATGCTGCTCAAAATGCATGATGTGCGCCTAGCCGTGAAGCAGCCAAAAATCCAGTCGTTTAGCATTTTCTAACTGTTAGCATTTTTATACCAAGGTCAGGAAGTACTAACATCTGCTTCAGTTGAAGTCTAGATGAACAGAGTTGCTAAAGGTGACTCACGTATTAATGTATGCTTCTTAGCTTAGATCTCTGCCTGGAAGAGCAATAACTACAGAAAACATTTTGGGACAGGTGATGAGTAGTTTCAGTGTGGACCAGAGAGAAGGGTTGTAGGCTAATAGTCCTGATTTTGATAATCATTGTAAATGAGATTGTCTTTCATCTTAGAAATATAAATGAAAAGGCAGGGGTGACACTGTGGTTAATTTAAACAGTGGAAGAATGATTACAGGGTATGTGGAGTACCTATTCTGTTATTTGAACTTTTTTTTATAAGCTTTATGAAACTATTAGTGAACAGTTAATGTCCATTGTTCTTTGGAAATCTTGACTAATTTGAATGTGCATTCCAATAATATGATAATAGAGTAGACAAATTTAAGTATATGAATTAAATTTTAGTTATTTTTGGAGTATAGTTTTGCTTTCCTTTTTAAAATCTTATTTCATAAAATCATGGCTGCTTTGAAAATTATGTAACTGTATAAGTGTTGGCTCAACCTGTCAGGAAATATATAATCAATAATTATAAACGCTTCAGTGTATTAGTCATAATTATAACAAATGTGTTTATTATTTGTTTCTCAAACATTTCTTATTATATTTCATTGATCCTGGAATTACATAGACTTGTTGTTTATGTAATATCCTTTAGTGACCATGCATCACTAGGATGATTAGCTGGGATTACTAGTACTTTTTGTAGCACTACTGTGAAAATGTTAGGAAACTTGTAGATTTCTCCCTCATGAATTCATTTTTTGTGCTTTTGTGTATAACTTAGGGAAACTCACAGATGTCCTCAACCCTGCCCACTAAGCTTAAGTCAAAGTGTGTACTCAAGTTTCATACCCATTCATTAATTAACAAAGAAACTTATTGCTGGGGCTAGAGAGATGGCTCAGCAGTTTAGAGCGCTGTCTGCTCTTGCAGTTCCCAGTACCCAAGAGGTGGCTAGGTGGCGAACAACCATCTGGAAATCCAGTTCCAGGGATCCGATGACCTCTTCTGGCCTCTCAGGCACAGATCTACTTGCATGCATTCAGAGAAAACACTCATACGCATAAAATAAAAATAAATTTTAAAATGTTTAAGAAGTTTAATCCTGTGTTTCAATGTTGTTATAGTATGGTTTCTACACAGCCACCTTCAGAATTGTGTGGTACCTGGTAGAAAGTATGAATCCCCAAATCTACCCACTGATTAGTTCACCAAATACTTGTGAGGTTGTACTTTGTACCACACACTGTTCTACAGTCTCCCAGTACAGCAATGCATGAAATGCCTGACCTTACTGAAATCGTTTTCTTATATAGAGACAGTAAACAAATTTGTAAGTACAGTATAAACTATGTCAAATTATACATGTCACAGCGAAATTGAAGGTGAGAATAAAAATTTTTACATAAGTTGCTTGAGGAAGGCCTTCCTTCCAGGCAACATTTTAGCTTAGCAAAACCTTGAAGGAGGTTAGGGAAGTCCTCCCACAGATATTCTAGGAAGAGGTACATTTTCAAGAAGGTCTTGGCTACCTATGGGGGTAATATGGCTGAACTGGGAGTGACAAGAAGGAGAATGGTAGAAGATAAACAGGGGGAGGGGAAATAACAGTGATAAGATTTGTCTTTATTTTGGGATCCTTACTGTTTCCAGTGTAATGGACAAGGATGGCAAAGGGGAGGTGGCCCACAAGTATATTATTAGTCAAGATGAGAAACAATGCTCACTCAGAACAGAACTGACAGTGAAGATCATGATGAGAAATATTTGGATTCTGAATATATTTTTACCATGGATTTGATAGAAATTAAGAGACATGTTGATAAGAGTGTGAGAGAAATTGAGGACTCTGAAATAACTGTGCACTTGGATTTGAGCATCTATTAAGAATGGTGTTGTAGGCTGTGTGTGATGGCAGGAACATGTAATCCCAGCACTCAGGAGACAGAGGTTGAGGTCCAGGACAGCCTAGAATACATAGTGATTTTAAGCCTAGCCTATTAAAGTCCTGTCTCAGAAAACAGACCAAATAACAAAAAGCAGAGTTAGCATTTTCAGACATAGGAGCAGATTTAGTTGGGGGTAGAGACCAAGTGATAGACTTGAACTTTGAGAAAGCTGCCAAGCCTACAAATGAAATGTTGAATTATGTAGTCAAGGTTCAGAAGAAGTCTGAACAAATGTAAATTTGGGAATCTGCTATAGGAATTGTTTCTTACAGCCAAAAACTTAATCAGAGAATCAAGGTTAAGTGTCAGAAGAAAAGGTATCTAAACTAAATTGCTGGCACTCCATGCCTTATGTAGCAGTGAGCCAGTTTAAAGGAAAACAGGAGACCCTGCTCCCAGTAAACTAAGTACAGATGTACAGAAACAGTGGAAATGACAGGGCTCTTCGTCCTGCAGGGTCCAGAAAGACGGTGTCCAGTGTCAGATGTTCAGCCCGTAAGTATTGTAGCAAAAGCAAGTGCAGCAAGTGATGAGGATGAAAACTGGATTCTAGGTTCAAGAGAAAATTAAGAGATGAAATGGAGGCAGTTTATGTAGAAGAGTCTTCCTAGAGTAGGTCTTTTGTATGCCACTGGAAAACAATTTATATCAGACTTTACAAGTTTGGGATAAACTCAGTTTTTTTTTTAAATTTTTTTTTATTATTTTCATTTTATGTGTATGAGTATATTGCCTGCATGTATGTGAGTGCACCCATGTCATACAACACAGCGGAAGTCAGAAGAGGGCTTTGGATTCCCCTGGAACTGGAATTAAGGACAATTGGTAGCCTCCATGTGGGGATACTGGGAATCGAACCTGGGTCCTCTGCAAGAGCAGTCAGTGCTCTTAGCTGCTGACCCATCTCTCTAGCCCCCAAACTCAAGTTTTTTATTACATCTCCTTCCATTCCTCTTGGCACTTAATTTGAGAAACACCTGATCTCCTTTTGTGTTTTCCTACCAGTTGCTCTTAGGGGTCGTAAGTGCAAATGAATTAAAAAGTCAATGGAAACATGTATATACTATTGCTGACTCTAGTAGCTGAAATTTGCAGTTGTCAGTGATTTCCATCTATCAAGTTACAAAACAGGAACTTAGAGGCCAGGGACAAAAGTAAAAGTTCTTTTTTGCAATTCCTGTTTCCCAGAAAGGATGTCTTAATCAGCCAAAGGGAGTTAATGGGTTTCAAAAATATTGACATCTTGAAATTCTCGTCTTAAAATATTGTATATCGTCTCATATATTTTATAGAAAACAGTGTTAAATGTGCATTAACTAAAGTTAAAACTATAGAAATTTTCTGATTTTTTTTTCACACCAGGATACTGAAGTTAAGGTGATTTAGAAAATGTAGAATAAAAAAGCTTTATTGCTTTATGTGCCTTGGGGAAAACTTTTCAAATTTGTTTACTAAATAAATAAGCCCATTTCAGCTTAAACTAATAATTTCTTAACACATACTAGTAAAGGTACCCAAGGTAGTTTAAATATCTCTACTCCTTTCATAATAGGACAATAAAACTTTGCCACTAAATCTACCGACAAGTTTAAGTTATTCGGATTGTGTTTTTAAACATCATAAAAGCAGACCCCCAAGAAAATGTGAAATAAAAAACTTTATTGCTTTATGTGCCTTGGGGAAAACTTTTTAAATTTGTTTACTAAATAAATAAGCCCATTACAGCTTAAACTGATAATTTCTTAACACACTAGTAAAGGCACTCAAGGTGGTTTAAATATCTCTACCCCTTTCATAATGGGGCACTAGGACGGAAACAATTTTATAGACATTATAATAAAACTTTTCCACTAAATCTACCTACTAGTTAAGTTATTCAGATTGTGTTTTTAAAGATCCTAAAAGCAGACAAATTTAAATTTTCCTAAACCATTTATTTGAAAAATTAACCTCTTTATCTATTAAATACACCCTGCATTAATATGTATATTTTAGCTTAAAGTTCCATTTAGCCTATTTCTCTGGGGTACCTAGGAGTTACAAACTTGGTTGCAAAGAAACCCAGACATTTCCCTTGCAGACCTTTTCTGAAATGTGGTATCATGCAGACCTTAGCTATGTGTTCTACTGAAGATCTCTTTAAATCTGTCAAGCTCTAGACCGTTGTAGTATCAGCAGTAGGATATAGGGGTGGCCAGACTCAGAGTTACACTCTGCAAATACATATTTTATCTCAGAATATAGCATAGCCCATCTTAAATGCTTATCTTTTTACTCTACTATGGTCTAATAACACTATAAAAATACTCTCTTTTAGAATGTGAAGCACAGAAAGTATGCAAGGTGGAAGGCAACATATATCCATAACTGCTTAAAGAATGGGGAGACTCCTCAAGCAGGCCCTGTTGGAATAGAAGAAGATCATGGTACGTATTTGTTAGTCCTAAGCAAAAATGCTTCAGTAGAATCATAGGTTTTCAGAAGATTTTAAAGTTTTCAGAAGGTACAAGCAATTTTTTCATCCTTGAGAATTAAATATAAAATTATGAACTTGGGGACAGTGGCATGTTAAAGCTGTCCGTGTAATTTCTGACCAAGTCAGCAGTGGCTTGGCTGTCTCCTGCATCTAATCAGATTTCATTCTAGTACCGGAAAGATGATCCTCTTACACTGTAATTTAAAAAGTGCCTCCAAATCACAACGAACTCTGTATTAGAACTGTATCATTTTTGTCTGTCTATTTGAATTTTTGTGTGTGTGTGGAATGTTTTTTTAGAGTGTGTGGGGTAGTATTTCACTTGGCTCAAAAATTACAAAACATTTAAAAAACGGAAATTTTTTCATTTTTGTATTCTTCATCTTCTTAGATGATGCCAAAACTCAGGTAAGTAAATATTTACTTTAGTTTTTTTATTTTTACAGAGATCATTTTTTGTTAAATTTCAAACAAATGGTTTCAAACAAATGGAAATAAATATTTATATTTATTTATTTTCCCCCATTTTCACAGTTTTACCCTTGACTTTAAAAAATAAAAATTATTATACAACAACAAAGTTTTGTACAGGAAAATTTACCATTATATAGCAAATGTGAGTTTATAAATTTTAATCATGAGAAATATGAACATATTATTTTTCTTGATCT